TCTCTCTCTCTCTCTCTCTTTCTCTCTCTCTCCCTCCCTCTCTCTATGCCTGGTGGGCTTGGGGGGTGGAATAAAGTGATGCAGGTGGAAAGGAAGATGCATCTATGTTGCAGAGAGTCTGGATGGGACAATAGTGTGGTCTGCACCTTGGAAAGCAAACAAGTTGAAGGATGGACTGGGCTGCGTAAAGGAGGCCCTCATCTTTACTCCTCACTCTGGGAGTTCTTAGTGGAAGCTGTGCCAGCAAGGAAAAAAGACTATGGCAAGATAGAAAAGGAGCCGAAATATGTTTGGCTACTGCCCCTCCCCTTATAAAGAGCAGCCTTCTCATCCTGAGTCTTCCTCTCTCTCTCTGCCCTTTTGGCCTTCCCTCTTCCTCGTGGATGAGGGTGGGGGATCATTGGGGAGGTGGGTGCTCTCTGACCTAGTAAATTTGAGGAGTGTCCCTCTGGGAACAAGGGTGGAGAGGGTGGTTTCATGGCTTAAGGCTTCCAGGTAGCAGAAGGTTCATGTCTCTGTGGATTCAGCATGGAGGATTTGCTTTGGGCTAAATCCTTGTGAAGCAGAGACTTCGGTGGGGGAAGGGATGGGAAGATGATCTGCATGGAGTTCTCCACCTCAAGGCCAGAGCCGGAGGACAAGGAACCTTCTGGTGCCTCCGAACTCAGGGTGGTCAGCTTGTCATCTGCCTGATAAAAGGACAGCTCTCAACATCTGGTGAAGGTTGACTTTTGACAGGGACTTCAGTGCTTAAACAGAAGGATATGTACGACTGAGTGATGTTGGGACAAAGGGCCAGAAACAGATGCGCTAACCATCCAGAGGAGTAGAATAATCTTCAAGAAATGTTCTGTGTGCCAGGGGGCCACTCACTACTGCCAGGCCTGCCATGGCTTGACAAAGAGGGAGCTCGGTATAAGTGCTCTGTGTGTTACTGTCACCCACTATCATTAGGGGGACACAGATACAAGGGGAGGTGCTTCAATGGGTAATGGGCTGATTAAGGGACTGGGTGTGCAAAATTTTTCTTTGAAACCCAGAATTTTCACTTCTACCACATCTTGTACAAGCCTTTGCAAAGTTTGAAGCAGCAACCAAATAGCTCAGTATTTATCTAGGCTCATAAAACCTAAAATCCAATCCCTGGGGCAAATAATCTGAACGTTTCTATCAGAATTACTTTGCGTAGTTGAGGGAAATACAGTCTTTTAGTTTCTCTAACAAAATGGTTTTGCTTTCTTCCTTCTAAGGCACACTGTCCAAAGTAAAAAGATTTCAAAATTCTACAGCAGCACAAATATTTCCATAGTTTTTATAGAGAAAATACTAGCGCTTTGGATGGTGGCAGTGACTATATTGAAGGTTATGCATTAATGGTATTTATTGCATTCAAATAATTAAAAGTTTTAATTCTCATTTCTAAAGCTCTTTTGCTTAATGTAATCATTGCATAAAATTACTATAGCTATTGGCAATTGTCATTTAAAATGCTGACGCTCCACCCAGGAGCCATTTATTGCATGACCTCTGCTATGTGGCTCCATGCTTTGGCTTTCTTCTTGGCCATGGAGAACCAGACAGGCTCAGCAGGTTCCTTCAACTCAACTGACTCATCTAGGTTCTGGAGCCCAGATGGAAGACTTAAAGATTGTTTCATTTCTTTTCCCGTGCCAGATGTGGAAAGCATCTTCTGACCTTCAAATACAACTGGAACCACAGAAAATAACACACAAGCCATAAGAAGCCCCAGCAATACTGGGCTATATTTATAGGATGAAATAAATTGTTTTATCCTTTCAAGTTTCCACTGATCCCCCTTCTCTTAGTACTTTGCTATTCCTGCTCCCGTGGATGCCAGGCTTCTAAAAGTGCATAGGCAGTGCCATGAGTGGTCTGTCAAAGGGTAAAATCAACATGGCTATGACCACAGGGGCCTGGGCATGGGAAGGCCTGAGAGGTAATTCCTAAAGCTACAACTGCCAGGATTTGGTGCTTATTAGATTGTCCTACAATTTTGCACTGAGACTAGAAGGGAAATATTGTATCTGTTCAGTTTTTAAAATCTCATACTGGATAATGTTGTTATTTGTTTTGCCAGTCCATGATGTTGTATGAAATGAAATAACAGATGACTAAATAGATCTAGCTAATAAAAGCCAATGCTAAACAAGGATGTACTGAAGACCCTGGCCATGCAGACTACTTCTCTATTTCCCAGTTCCTCTCCCTCCTTCACCTTGCTCTGGGGCTAATTGACTCAGTGGCCTACACTCAACAACCAGTAGTTCTCAATCCTGGCTACACAGAATCACCTCGGGCTTCTTAAATATTTCTGATGCTCATGTCATTTCCTGAACCAACTGAATTAGAATCACAAGGGATGGAACCAGGGCCATCTGTAATTTTTAAAAAGCTTTACCAAGTGATTCTAATGCTCAGAGTCGAGACCTACTTGATAGGAATGTAGCACCCATAAGGCATTGAGCAGGCCAATTGCTGCTATTTCATGGCCAAACAATGGGTTCCTGAATTCCTAGTCTGATTTCTTCATGAAAGGGATAAGAGAGAGGACAAAGATGGTTCAATATGAATCAGTCCTCTCCTCCTGTTGAAAGAAATCCCTCTGGAACACAACTCTTATTGACGATACCACGTTCTATTATATCCCTTCACAGTATTTTTTCAGCTGTCAGCATTTCCCCACCTCTCACACCCTTGTTCAGAATGCAGAGAACTGAGGCAGGTGGGACACTGCATGCCTTTAATCCCAGCACTTGGGAGGTTGAGGCAGGAAGATTTCTATGAGTTTAAGGCCAGCCTGGGCTAAACACCAAGTTCAAGGCTGGCCTGGACTACTGAGCAAGATCCTATGGATTATTTTCAACAGTTTCATTGGAGGGATAGCAGGTAAAAAAAAAATACTACTCTGCTATGAGCTGGAAAGTGACTTGGTACTTTCCTCTTGCAAACTCAATTCCAGGAAAAGTTTAGTGAGTGACCACAGTTTTGTGCCTCAACAGCTTCTTTAGTGAGGTGAAATACTGGAAGAACCCCTGAAAGTTACATGATGGACTTATATTAGTTATGATAATTAGATTTTCCTAAAGCAAGCTAGCATCTGTTATCATCTCATGGAAGTCATGAGATAATCATGAAGCTGAATTGGGGAAAGAGAGACATGTATTATCTGAGCTTGAAATTGCAAATGTTTCACAACATTCTTCCAGAGCTATTTTTTTGGGGGAGTCAGGGTATGTGCTTCTACCTGACTTGGTAGACTTAGAGGATTACATCTGTGCCTTCTTCTCCTGTTTGTAGATACTGGAAGTGAGAATCTTTTTTGGTTGGTTTTCAGGTGCAGGGCCAGCTCCCTTTAATACAAAAATGAAAACAGAAAGCATGTAAGTCTTAACATAAAACCAGCAAATTACTTACTCAGAACATCATATGGTGCAAACCCTTTCCAGGGTACTATTAGTTCAAGACTAATCAAGAGAAAAGAGATAGATGATGTAGATATGGATATGGATATAGATATAGATATAAATAGAGAAGGAAAGAAATAGCACTGAGCCCCTTGGTTTGGAATTTATGTTCACAAAACCTAAGTTAGCTTAAGCTTATCACCTTTCAGACCTAGAAGAAAAAGCTGTCTAATTAAACAAATAGTATAAACAGAATAATATGAGAATTATTTCATGTAAGAACAATCGTTTCCCCAGCACTTTACCAGCTCTCAATAGCAAGCTAACAGAATGTGATGGTTACAAACAGGTCTGTTCAATTCACTGAAGTGAGTTCATAGAATTTCTACTTTGCAAAACTTGCTGAAGTATGACTAGAAGCACTTCTTTCATTGGAAAGCTATACAACTGTAAGGCTTTTCAAAATTTTACAGTTTAGGATATTCAAGTTAACCTCTCCACAAGTGGTCTAAATTAATGACTTTACATACACTAGGGTATTTTCCCTGAAAGAAAAGCTTTTTTTTTTTTCATACTTGGGATTAAACTCAGGATCTTTTGTTTATTTACTTTTGACACAGCATCTCGCTAAGTTGCTAAGTTGCCCAGGCCCCCTGGAACTTGTGGTTCTCCTACATCAGCCTCCTGGAGTGCTGGGAAAAGAATCTTTAAAGCAGAAAGTTAAATAGATCTTCACATGATCCCTCAACAAATTTAGTAACCACTTAAAAGTTGAGGATCTTAGGGCCGGGAATTTAGCTCAGTGGTTTTGCTGCCTGTTGCTCAAGCACAAGGACCTGAGTTCAATCCCCGGTACCAAAAAATGTTGAGAATCTTAGATATATTTCTTGTATGTAAATTTAATAATTTTTTGAGTCAGTTTTCACAAGAAGGGAACAAGGCATCATCCAATTATCCCTGATCCCATTAGCTTAGTTCATCAGATATTTTAACATCCAAGTAGGTGCCATACCAAACCAAATCTATACGTAGAAATCCAAACATCAAAGGCATAAATTGTTGTGTACTGATATGGAAAGTTTCTCAGAAACAAAATGTTCAATGAGAAAGTAGTACAGTAATCCTTATTTATCTGTGTGTACTCACTTTCCATAGTCTCAATTACATGCAGTCAACCACAGTCCAAAAAATAAGAGGTAGAAAATTTCAGAAATAAAAAAATGTTAAAGTTTTAAATTGCATCCTATTATCGGTAGCACAATAAAATCTCTTGCCACATCACTCCCACTGGGACCAGAGTCATTCTTTTATCCAGTATAACCACACTGCATATACTGCCCACCTGTTAGTCAGTGAGTAGTCATGGCAGTTACATAGCAGATTTACTGTAGTGGAATCACAGTGTCTGTGTTCAAGTAACCCTGATTTTACTTAATAATGGCCAGAGAGTTAAAATAATGATGCTGGCAATTCAGATACACCAAAGAGAAGTCATAAAGTGCGTCCTTTAAGTGAACAGGCAAGAAAGAAGAAAAGTACAGAAAGAAAATCATATGCTGACATTGCTAAGCTCTACAGTAAGAATGAATCTTCTATCTGTGAAATTGTGATGAAGGGAAAAAAGAAATTCATGCTAATTTTGCTTTTTCACTTCAAACCTAAAGTTATAGCCACAGTGCATAATAAGTGTTTAGTTAAGATGGAAAAGGCACTAAATTATAGAGTTCAGTACTATCTGTGGTTTCAGGCATCAACTGAGGGTCTTTCCATGTATCTCCTGTGGTTAAGGGGTACTATTATATTTATAGTTTGATTCTTATTTATAAGACATATGTACATATTTATAGGTATAAAACATCTGTAAAGATACTCAACTCTTATCCCAGTGGTTACCTTTGTTATTTTTAATTGCTTTTTTCTATTTACTCCTTATTTGTCAACAAATTTCATGGAATCCTACTCTAGAATATTTAGGACAGGGTTTGATTTATAGAGCCCCCCCATATTAATTACTTTTCATAAACCCTTTAAATGCATAAGGCAGGTTATATTTATATAAGTACAAAGCCTAATCTTGTCCCCTGAAGAGTCTTCCTGACTTGATTAATACTCTCAAATTGGTTTGGGGGGGTGCTGCATGTCTGGCAAATTCCCAATGGAAACTTAATCAGTGGCTCCAGCAACCTTCTGGAATGTTTTCTGGGCTGCCTCAGGTCTTATCCCATGTCTAGGCTCCTTGGTCTCAGTCTTGGCTCCAGCTCTGCTCTTGGTTTTGGTCTCTTTCACAGGAACGTAGACCTGGGAGCCCTTGTGTTTCTGCCTTGGCATGGTAAAGCAAGCTGGATCTGAGATGTAATAATCTGATTGCCGACCAGGTTTTCCTGAGAAAGGAATAAAAAGAATTAGAATGGAAGCAAAGCAGGCAGGGGTTTATCTGGTGGGGAGTTACCCACAATGATGTCCCAAATGTGTTAATTGCCAAATGAAAATAAATAAATATCAAGTAAAGAAAGATCCTGGCAAGGCAGGAATCCCTGGGTACTTAAGAAGCTGTGCTTAGCCAGAGTAGGGATGCATGCCTGTCATCCCAGCACTTGGGAGTCTGATGCAGAAGGATTGCTGCAAGTTTGAGGCCAGTCTGGGCTCTACAGTGAGTTCAAGGCCAGCCTGAACTACATAGAAAGACCCTGTCCCCCAAAAACAACAACAACAAACTCCATAAACAAAAGAAACACTGTGCTCAAAAGTGAGCACAATGACCTTTTACTGGACCCTTACCTTCCTTTGTCTCCCCAACCCCAAATCAAGGCAAGATGATGGTTGTCAGGTGGACTGGGACAGGTCCAAAATGGTCAGAGGCTTAGGCCATTGATGTCACGCCTCCAACACTGAGGAAAATCTTATAGAATGTGTTATTATATAGTCCCTCATGCAAGTATGTGGTTTCACAGGGATGGCTAGAGGAATCGACAAGAGTATGTGTGGGTGAGAGAGAAGGTACAAAGGTTTGGGCAGAGAATCATGCTCAAAAGATCACCTAGCTCTGAATCTCAGGCATTCCAGGTGAGCGAAGAAGCTGTGGAGGTACATTTACAATACATTAAGATTTCAGGCCAAGAGTCTCAACGTAGTGCGCTTAATGAATTGGCCTTTAAAACCCCATATAGTTAGGAGGGGCATAATACATATAAAAGCATTTTGACAGAGCATACTATTCCACCCAAAAGTATGATGTACAGAGGGTGGAGCAGCGAAAATGGGGAGATGGTCACCTATCCATTATGGAATGTGGAGGGATGGCCAGCACAACACCCCCTTGCCAATAGGTAGATTCAAGATTAACTACCTCCAAATCTATGAATTGAGAATGTGGCACTACCCGGCCCCCCAAACCCCATGCCAGCCCTATCAAAGAATCAGCACAGTAGGAAAGGCTAGAATAGACTCTAAGGCCCATTCAAGGCTCTTCTTTCCAGTTCTTTCCTCCCCTTGGTACCTATTTGTCCTGGAGAGCTAAAACTCTCACCTGGGGTCTTGTAAGCTGGTTGCTTCTTGGCCACACCTTCGTATTTGGCCCTGCTCTGATGCTTCTCCACAAAGGTAGTTTGTGTGGTGAGGTTGTCTGTGGTGTTCAGGTGCACCTGGGAAGTACCTCTTCTCATTTGCTGTTCTCTGCCTCTACTGGATGAAATTGGGCCCAAGAGCAGTGAAGGAAGCTGGGTAAAGCTATCTGGTTTCTCGTTCTTATACTTGTGTGGAGAAGACATTCTTTTCCATTGGACTCCAGAAAGATTTTCAACATCAGCTTCATTGGTGGGTAAATTTGAATGACCATCATTTCTATCACCACTCTGAAGAATTTCCTCCTTATAGTAAGTATCCCCAGAAATGGGTATTTTCCAGGTAGGAGCAGTGATAAAATTCCCTGGCTTAGGAGCTGAGGTCGGGATGCTTTTAGGGAAATATTTGGAGCCTTGGCTGTGTTTCTTGGTTTTCTTTGGAGAAACTGGGCCTTTTGGTAGGGACCAGCTTCCAGGGTTGTTCTCAGAAATGGTTACCTCAGCAGCGGCACTCATGGCACTTGAATAAACCTGTTGCTGATACTCAGCATTTCTAAAAGCTTGGGAAAGATGCCTAGGAGGTTGGTGTTCCTCAAGATCACTCCACTCTACAGGGATATTCACTGAGCCTGTTGGTGGCTGGAATTCAGACCAATACAAGGCTTCAAAAGGGTGTCTGGATTGCACTTCAGAACTCCTCCACTCTTCAGAAGAGATGTCAGAAAGTGAGGAGGCTTCTTGCTGGTACTTAAGCTTCCCCGGGGCCTTCCCAGAAGGTCCCTGCCATTTAGAACTGCTCTGTTTCATAGAAGCCCTCTCTGAAAATGACAGACCTTCTTGTGGGTCTGCAGGCCACCCCAGGGACTTTAAAGCAGGCTTCAAAGAAATGCCTTCTGCAATGTCAGGATTCTCCCAATCTGAGAAAATTTGGTGCTCAATTTCAGGACTCAACAAAGATTTGGAAGGAAGATTTGGAGACAAAGGATCCACATAAATTTCCCTCTCAGCATCAGAGCTCTCTGAAAAGATTTGCTGTGCCATGAACTTCGAGAATGAGCCTGGAGGACTCTTGGGAAGCCACAATTTCTTAGAAATGCTTTCTTCAGCAGCAGTACTCTCCAGGATTGAGGGTATTTCCTGAACTTCAGACCTCACTAAGAAATAGGTGGGATGTTTGGGAGACAATGACTCCTCAGAAATGCCTCCCTCAATAGTAGCACTCTCAAGACTTGAGGACATTTTCTGGACTTGCTGTCTCACAGTGGCCTGGGGAAGATGTCTGGGAAGCTCCCTAGGAATATTCCCTTCCATGGCAACATTCTCTGGACCTGCAGAGACTTGTTGCTCAAATTTAGGGTTTGGCCATGGCTGGAAAGGGTATCTGGAGGACACTGGCCCCAAAGGACCACACCATTCTTCAGAAGTATTCATTGAATTTGAGATTTCTTGCTGGATTATTGGTCTCCTCAGAGGCTGACAGTATATGGAAGGCTCCAAGTCCATAGAAATGTTCCCCTCAGTTGCAGTGCTCTCCAGACCTGCAGAGACTTGTTGCTGAAATGTAGAGCTCACCCATGGCTGGAAAGGGTGTCCAGGAGGCATTTGCTCCACAGAACTGTTCCACTGTCCAGCAGTGCTTACCAATCCTGTGAAGACTGGTTGCTTGACAACTGACCTCCTTGGGGGCTGAGAAGGCATTCTGGGAAGCTGTGGGCCCATAGAGATGTTCCATTCAGCAGTAGTCTCTGGACCTGCAGAAACTTGCTCAAATGTAGGTCTCAGCCATGGCTTCCCAGGGTCTCTGGGTGGCACCAACTCCTCAGAAATGCCCCACTCAGCCTCAATGCTCTGTGGACCCACAGAGCCTTGCTGCTTACATCCTGGGCATATCCAGATCTTGCAAATGTGTCTAGCAGGCACTGGCTTCACAGCATTGCACCATTGTGCAGAAGTGTTCACCGACTCTAAGCTCATCTGTGGCTGGAATTTAGGCATCACCAAAGCCTGACAATGGCACCCAAGAGGCAGCTGCTCCACAAAAATGCCCTGTTCAACACCGGTGCTTTCTGAGTAGATTGGCTGGACTTGAGGATTTGGGAGAGAGTATTTGCTGTACTGTGGTTCCACAGAAATGGCCTCAGCAGCAACACCCTCTGAACCTGATGACATGCTTTGTTGGACTATACAGTTCATCAAGGGCTGGGGAAGATATCCAGGGGGCAGTGGCTCCACAAAAATGCCCCCTTCTTCCACAGTTGGGCTCTCTGAAGATGAGAAAACTTGTTCTATTTGAGGGCTCACCCATTGCTGGAAAGGGTGTGAGGGATGCCTTAGGGCCATGTAAATTCTCCCCTCAGCAGAAGTGCTCTCTGGATATTCAGAGGCTTCTTGCTCAACTATTGGTCTTGTCAGGGGCGGAGAATATCTGGGAGGCAACACCTCCATAGAAACTTCTGCCATAGAAGTAAGTACTGGACCTGAGGAGGATTTTTGCTCAGCTGTAGGATTCATTAGGTACTTAGAAGTCATTCTGTGAGGCAGTGGTTCCATAAAACCGCCCCACTCAACAGCACTCTCTTCATCTGCAGAGACTAGTTGCACAAATTCAGGGTTCACCCATGTCTGGAAAGGGTGGCCAGGAGTCACTGGCTCCACAGAACCATGCTGTTCTGCACAAATGGTCACTGAATTGGAGGAGATGTGTGGTTGAACAATAGGCCTCACGATGGACTGAATAGGGCATTTGGAAGGCATCTGCTCTTCCCAAGCATTCTTTGGAACTGAGGGCACTTCTTGCTGGTCTTCAGGTTTTTCCAAGGCCTGGTTAGGGTATCTGAGAGGTAGACCTTCCTCTGAGCTGTGCCAGTCCTCAGCATTGTTGTACTTTTTAACATAACCATTTGATCCTGTGGAGATTTCTTTATCCTTGGGCTCCAGGATTACTTGGGAAGAACATCTGGGAGCCAGCTGCTCCACAAGAAAACTTTCTGACTCTGAGAAGACTATTCTATGCTTCCCCAAGGACTGGGATGAGTGACCAGGACCCGCTTCCTTTGGGATACTCTCCCTGTCAGCAGTACTCTCTGACTTTGGGGAGCCTTTTTCAGGTTCAGGCTTTCTCAAGAACTGGGAAGAATATCCAAGAGCCAACTGCTGCTCCACACTGTTCAATTCCACAACTAAAATTTCTGATTCTTCAAAGACTTTTTGTTCATCTTTAGGCTTCTTAAAGGACTGGAAAGCATGTCCAGTGGCCAGCTGTTTCTCAGAATCATTCCCTTTCTCTGACACACTCTTTGAATCTGGAGAGACTTTTGCAGTTTCAAGCTTCTCCATAGACATGCCTCCCTCTTCTGTGGTACTTGTCATATTTGAAATGCTCACTGTACAGTCCTGGAGAACATTTCCAGGAGGCTTTTCTTTGGAGACAGTTGGGACATTCTCTGTTTTAGAGTAGACATTTTGCAAACCAAGGCTGGAAGCTTCTTCTTCTTCTGATTGGATAGGAGAAGGATCCCTAAGCACCTGAGCCTCTGTTGTTACTAAAAAAATTGCCTTTTTGGGGGTTGTAGAAGGTCTTCTCACTACTGGCAAAAGAGAAGTTCTGGATTCTGTCATTTTGGCTAAAGAAGCCCCATCTTCATGGTTTGGTGGTGGACCACTAACCATAGACTCTTTTGTGTCTTCAGGTATGGATTGTGATGCTAATGCTTTTTTGGCTTCAAAATCTACACTAGCATTTCTCCTTCTCATATCACTTTTATCTGAAAGCAGCTCCTGAGAGATAGTGATTTCTGCTTGTGAAGTTGTCAGCTGCTCCAGGGCTTGCTTCTCTGAGGGCGGGTGCCAGGAAAGGCCATCTCTGGCAGTCTTATCAGTAGATGGAGACTCAGGTCTGTCACCCAGGCCATGACTTTGACTGGATTGTGTAAAGCTTCTTCCTTTGGTTCCATATTGATTTGTTATTGAAACACATGTTCCTACCCTTTTACATCTTCTGCCATGAGCTGCTGACACTGGGTTGCTCAGGTTCCCAGCAGCATTAGTGTTTGTACTCTTATCCATTGTCTTTTGATCATAAATCTCAGTATTGTTGCTCTGTTCCTGGCCAAAGTGGCCTGTACCAAATAGAAACAAAAAAATGAGAAACATGTATACTTTAGCCTTCCTAAACAAAAATACTCTGCCCTAGCCCAATGGGTACCTACTTGCTACTCAATTCCCTAGTATGAAGAGGCAGCTTCTCAGAAGACAGACAGCAACCTGGTCACTATTTAAACTTTCTGCAGTTGGAACATTTTAAATCAAAGGTAAATTTAAATTTCATAAACTGATTCCAGGGTTGCCGCATCATTTTATAATTAGTCTGGTTCACCATTAGATATGAGGAACATCAAGAAACAAATTTTGAGCTGGGCGTGGTGGTGCATATTCTGGGAGGCTGAGGCAGGAAGCTAGTAAGTTGAAGCCCAGCCTAGGCAATTTAGAGATCTAGTGAGACCTTGTCTAAAAATAAGAAATAGAAAAGGGCCGGAGATGTAGTTCAGTGTGAAGGCCCTGGGTTCAATTCTCAGTACCAGGGGACTGGGGGTGGGGGCAAATTTTAAACTCATAAAAATGATTATCTTTGATGAAACTGACTGGGGCAGGGAAAAGGGATATTTTTACTTTCTGATTAGGATTTCTATATTCTACTTGATATTTATCTGAACTGCTTGAAATTCCTTATCAAGTGCTCGTATGCTTTATTTTTTAGAAGTGTCAACAGGAGCTGTCTGGAAGGTAGGATTATGGCCTCCTTTTCTTTTGCTTTCTACTCTTGTGAATTATAGTAATCCTATGTAATGTATATGCAAAACAATACTTGATCATCTTAACAAATGCATCAGTCCACAGGCTTTAAGGCAAACACACAAGATAGCAGCTGTCCAGATTGCTGCCCAGGTGGGAGGGCCCCTCCTTGGTCTTCTTCCTTCACCATCCATTGTATCCCTGGCTCCATCTAGTGGTTCCATATGGGAATACATCATTGAGAAGCGCTGGCTGTGCTCCAACCATTCATTCCCACTTATGGAATGCCAACCAAAACATCTGCCTCTACTGAGTATTGATTCAATTCTACTGAATATCAAAGATAACTATTAAAAATAAATCCAACAAAAGATTAATCATTTAATCTTTCTTTCTTCCTCTTTCCTTCCTTTCTTTCTTTCCAGGACAGTTTTGTGGTTCTGCTTTCATGGGAACATGTGTTCAGGAATATCCTATGTCTGAACCCACATGTGAAATCTTTCGTGGCAAAAACTTGAAACAACTATTCAACTTAATTTGTGGAACTAGATTTTTGTTTTATCAAATATTGCTTGAAATTAGCTTGCCATTGGCTGGAGCCAACATGCATGCGCGCACGCACACACACACGCACACACACACACACACAGATTTTCACTGTAGTGGTTTTTGTTTGAGAATTTGATAGGCTACCAAGGACATCTTCCTGGAGCTGCACAAGCCCTCTTTTCCCGTGGAGATGGGAACAGGTCTCACTGTTAGGACAAGGCCTTTCCTCTGTACTGGGAGAGAAAGGCAATTTTAAAAACAATCCTATTTTTGCCCATTCTGTTATTCTTCTCTGGTTCTGCTGTTGAAGTCACTAACTACATTCTGATACCTGGCCTTACTGAGGAACTCAACATGTACATTGACCTCAAAGAAGAGTAAACAAATTTGCAAACAAACTAAACACTTCTTTGGTTGGAATTCATTGAGGTAAAATAGGTGCCCAGGCATGATCTTTCACCCAAATCCCATACAAGCGGTTCTTGCATTAATTTGGCAGTTTGAATGGAGAAGCCTGCCCCTCTAGTATGCATCTTAAACTGAAAGCTCTCTGAAGACCAAGTGTAGCAGTCCAGGGTAACTCTTGTCCTGTCACATTGTACTGTGCAATCAAGCCTGTAATACATGTTTCTGAGAGAGAATGAAGATGTACCAACCTGCACCTTCTATTTTCACCTTCTTTAGGTCAGCTTCTTTGGGTTTGGTTGTACTCTTTTCTCTTTCAGAAACCACTGAAAGATCTGGCTCCTCCTTCTTGTTGTCCACCTAAAACAGGGAAAAAAGCTTGAATCTTCCTGATGCGTTCTCCATTCACTCTTCCATGGTTGCTCTCCCCCCAAAATAGGTTCATAACAATACCAGTAAAGATGGGAGTTATTTCTAATGGCATGCATCTAGAGAACCCTTGGGATCATTATACCTATTGGAAGTGGTTCATCCAGATCTGGAGTTCCTAATCCCTGCATAATGTGCTGCAGGGATTAATTTACAACACCTTGGAAACTACTGAATCACCCTGGAAGGCCACAAACCTGAACATGAGGTTATTGGGCCTGACAACAATCATGCCCTTGGCAGCATTGCAATTCTCAGATTTGCCTCACTGGATCATGATCCAAACTCAAATCCTGTTTGGTTTCTTTGCAGGGAATTAGTAAAAACATGAATTATGTCTTTCCAGTTCAAAAGAAGAAAGAGGTTTGGGGTTTTGTTGGAAGAGGAGACAGAAAAAGACGAAGGACTCAGTCTTTACACTGAATGGGTTGAAATGGGTTTAGTGTAAACAAGGTTTTCAGATAACTATAGTGCAGCTCTGGAATTATCCAAGTAGCACTACCCTGAGCAGTGTCTGGGGTTTGCTTAGTGTAAGCACTTTATGGCAAATATTTAAAGATAAATGCACAACTTTTTATAATCCTGTTCACAGTGCCTATCCAAACCCAGTGCAAAATCATTTATTTTTGAGCAGATGAGGTCCAATAAACCTGAGTTTAAATTTCTTCTTCATCATTTACTTGCTGTGTGACCTTGAGCAAGTTGCTCTCTGAATTTATATGTCCACATCTATAAATTAGAGGTCAAGAGTCCTGTGGGACTTGCACATCTGAGAAATTGCAGAGCAGGATGAAGTAGTAGCAACCCTGAGTCATAAGTGATCCTGGACCTTTTTGCATTCTTCCCTGTGTGAGGAAGAGAGTCATAGGGAAGAAGTAGATGTCCCTGCCCGCTCAGAAGCTGCTGCCCAGAACTTTTCTCAGTTAGGTTATACAGAAGAAGAATGCAAGGCCAACATTCCCTTTCTCCCAGGTTTGTGGTAAGGTTTCTAGGGGGAATAATGCATGTATAGTTTAGTGTCTAGTAATTGGTCACCCCCTTGCATGACATCAAACCAAGGAGATCATCTCAGGGCCACTAGCAGTCCTCATAAACTCTCCTGCTCCTCCAACTGTTCTTTCAATTTATATTTTGCCCACTTTCTAAAGCAAAAATTGCAATGTCCAAGCTAGAAGCAATGTGATGTGGTGAAAAGTGTACTGGGCTGGAAGTCAGAAGACTGGATTCTACTCCAGCTCTGCAACCACCTCAGTGTTTGACTTTGGGCAAGCACCTGGACTATTTGTGGTTAAATGTCTTTCCCTGTAAAATGTATGTACTACACAATCTTTCAGTCTCTTCCCACTATGATTTATAGCCATTTACTTTTAGCTCTGAATCACTGAGGAATTGGGTGTTTGACAAAAGTAAATGTTTCAGCTAACTGACACATCCTTTTAAATTCCAGCATCTTTAAATTCTTAACTTTTAGTGAAAATCTTTTGCAAAATGCATTAGTTCCCTATCATCTTAAATAGGGATCAAGGAACATTAATTTAATGGTTCTTGATGACTTGGACAAATAGTGAACATGATTTATTACATTGGACTACATTAATGTGCAGCCCTGAAGGACCTTTCAAGGTAGCCAAGGTTCTGTCTGTTTTCGTTTTTGAGAGAGGGTCTCACCATATAGCCCAAGCCAATGTTGAACTTGCAATTTTCCTGCCTCCATCTCTTGCATAGCTGGGATTACAGGTGTGCACCACCACACCCAGCATGAGCCAAATTCTTGACTTCTTATACTAAACAATCTTTGATTGTTCCTGTCATCTCTCTCTGTTATCAACTTTCACTTCTCTGTGTCTGATCTGTGGCCATGGTTGTTTCATTTCATTTTTATTTTTCTTTTGTTTTTTCTTCTCTCTCCTCCTCCTATCTCTTTCTCTCTCTCTCTCTCTCCCTCCCTCCCTCCCTCCCTCCCTCACTCTCTCTCTCTTTGGTGCTGGGCATTGTACTCAGGGCCACACACATGCTAAGTAAGTGTTCTGTCACTGACATACTCCTGGCCCATTTTTTGTGTGACTATATTTTAACATAGTAAGTTTGCCTAAATATAGCTCTGCTTGCTAGAAAGTCATGTGTCAGAACTCTATGGTATCTATGTGGAAGTCTGGAGGGAATAACAGCCCAGTTCTGAATGTCCGGGGTTGCTAGAGGCTTGACCTCCAAATGAGTGAGTTGGTGTTGCGATTTGTAACTCCTGGGTCTCACCTGATTAACAACTAAAAGAATCCTGATGCAGGTTAGGGTTGAATATCCTCTACAAAGAGGGCTGAGTGAATTCCCAGATGCTAAGCTAATAAACAGGTTCTGGGGGCATGAAATTATTATTTCTGCTTTCTTTATTCCCTTTTATATAAGTTCTAAATGGATAAGACTCCCCATCCAATAGGCTTGAGCTTGCCCACCCTTTTGAGTGTCAAGGTCAAAAGAGTGCCCTTGACTTTGCTAACCCATATGGGTTTCCCAAACCATACCATTTCCTAGGAGCAGTTTATAAATGTTGGACTTCAAGTTATCTTATACAAGAGTTTATTCCCAGGTCTCTTGAAGAACTTACAGTTCCTTGAAGGCTTTTCTTTTGTTGTTTTCTGGGATTTAAAGCTATCTTGTGTTGAGCAGCTGAAGAGTCCAAACAGCTCTTGCTGGTGGCTGGGCTGCTGAAACCAGCCAGCTGCTGGGTACTGCTGGGAGAGGCACATGCAGTAGAGGACCGTGAGTGACTGGGTCCAGATGATGATTCAGAGAGGCTCTGGAAAAAGTGGAAGAAAATAAATGAGCCAACCCATATGCCATCACTGGTCTCAAAGTTGAAAATGCTTCTGGGAGAAGAATTCCTAAAAAAGAAAATACCTCATGAACTACTGCCCCTTTTTCCTCCCCTTCTGATCAGTAGGCTCATTAGAGGCAAGCTCAACACCTCCATTGTAGATAAAAACAAGAAATAAGAGGAAATTTGGGTTGCTCCCCTGCTTACAAAGTATTCAGGTTCAAGCCCAGCCTGGCAACTTCGTAAGACTCTACATCAAAATATGAAATGGCTAGAGATGTAGCTCAGTGCAAAGGCCCTGGTTTCAATCCCCAGTACTGCCAAGGAAGGAAGGAAGGAAGAAAAGAAGGAAGGAAAAGAGAAAAGAAGAGAAGAAAAACAAAGAAAAAGAAAGGGATTTAGGGATGATGCATGAGATAGAAACATAAGCACTCAGTGGAGTTTGTAAGGTTAGAGGGTTAGGAGGGCATCTGGCTGGCTGAGAGGCACAACCCATGTCACTCTACAGGGATCTCTACATTGAAAAATAGATGAAGGTTGGGTGGAGGGAAGAAAATCAGGTTGGAAGAGGGCCTTCAAATTCAATCCCTGGGAACTGTTGGGGAGAGAAGCCTAGGGTGAAAAAGGTCTACTGGTTCCTTAAGGGATAATACTTGTTTTCCCCCTCTGTTGGCCTCAGTAGGGGCCAGCATCTCATGAAGAAAATACAATGGTGAATTTTAGTCTTCTCTGCTTGGACGCTTTGGTCCTCTACTTAGTTTCCTAGTTGCTATGCTGAGTGAGAAACCAGTAGGGATTGGGCTTGTGGGGAGGCACTTGGGGATATAAGAGGTAGAAGTCATAATTTATAAGCAGCTTGAAGAAACATCTATCAAAGCCAGCACATCTGCCTGAGATGATGATTGGAGATGCTTCTTTGGATTCTGTTGTTGCTGTAGCTGTTACTTGCCTTCCATGACTTTACCACTATGGATAGTAAGTCTGAAATCATGGCAAAAATAAGAAAGCCTCATGCCTGTAGGTAGTTGGGATTTGACTGAAGCCCCGAGACTCAACTTTCTGCCCGCCAGCCTACCACCTAACTTATGTTAACCTGATTCAATTCTTTAATAGAGAATTTATGTTCCAGAAAGACAAATTTTTGGACTGGGCTTTGAAATGCTTTTCTCCCTTTGTGAGTTACTGGGGATTGAACCCAAGGCCTTTGCACTGAGCTATATCCCCACTCCTTTTTATTTTAATTTTTTAAATTTTGAGATCATGTCTCAGCAAGTCACTAAGTTGCCCAGACAGGGCTTGAACTTGTGATCCTTTGGCCTCAGCCTCCCAGAGGTTGGGATTATAGGTGCATGCCATAAACACTGGTTTGAAATGTTGACTTGAAATAATTTAACTTTGTGAGCTTACTCCAATCGATAGAGAAGAAACTACATGTTTTAAAATGTGATCTAATTTTGTTGATGACAGAAACTAAGAAAAAAGTACATAGTTCTATAATAATAGTTGGAGACTTCAGCACCTTACTATCAATAAGGAATACACAATTAGACATAACATCAATAAGGAAACATAAACTTAGAATAATACTATAAGTGTCTTAAACCTAACAGATACACAGAACTCTCCAACAACTGCAGTATACACACTTTTCTGAAATGCACGTGGAATATTTTGTTGGATAGACCATATGTTAGGCCACAAAATGAGACTTAATAAATTCAAAAAGATTGAAATTTTGCGAAGTATCTTCTCTAATCACAATGGAATGAAATTAGAAATCTGTAACAAAAAGAAAACGGAAAAATTCACAAATAGGTAGAAAGAAATTAAACAGTATATTCTTAAGAAACCAATGCCCCCAAGGATGGAGGAGGAGCCTACTCCCTGAGCAGCAACAGCCCCTGGCCAACTGTGAGCTTGCAGATTTTGCCCTCTGGCCATGGCCACCCACAAACTCCAAGCTCATTAGGTGTTTCATTTCCCCTTGACACTGGGCAATACAGGCACCAACTAACTGATCAACCTGATTGTAGATGAGGTCAACCCTCTGAGAGAAAAGGTGAACCCTAGAGACTTTACAGCTACAGGTAGAGATAAAAGATCTGGCAAGCAGCATCAGCTCCAAGAAAAGCCCACACAGAAAACTGTGACTTGCTGGATTCCAAGACTGTAGATCCCGGAAAGAAACCATTCATTCAAAAACACAAAGGAATTCTTTTTAATGACTCATCTTTTTTTCTTTTTCTCTTGATTTTTCCTTTGTTGGCTTTTTTGGGGTTTGGAGTTTATTCTCTCTCTTTCTTTTTTCTCCTTTTAATTTTTTTCCCTTCTTATCTTTTTCCTTTATTTCGCTATTTTTTTCTCTTCTTTTTCTTCTTCATTTTTTTCTGTTACTATTATCTAATAAATCTCCTTTTACTCCTCAATAGGATCCCCTATTTCGCTTTTCTATCCTTGCTGTCAACTTCCATTGATAAGTGCTTCAAATTTTACTTTTTTCATTGTTCAGTTCCCCCACCCCTCTATCTTTACTAGTACAACCATTAAACTTTATTGATCTTTAGACAGTTAATTCTATGCTATTAGGGTTGAATAATGTTCTATTCTTAATGGAGGTACAGTTATTCCATTTATTAGATATTTTCTGTAGGTCAGTATCTAGTTTGTCTGGTACCTCCATTCATGAACTTAATTCATTCCACAATCCTGGAAAACATGGCCACTTTTGTGTTGGTGTGGGAAAGATGGCCGTGGTTGTGTTTGTCACCTGAGGTACAGTTTGCAAACAAAAACAAAATTTTGCCAAACACTTCTGTTCACAAACAATAGCATTTGTGAACCAAGGTACCACTGTGTTATAATCATAGATGTCTTTCCTATGGTTAAGGATTTATATTATTGGTTCTTAGGTTAAGTCAATATCTAGTTTGTTTTTAGTGTTATTATTGTTGATTTTATTACTAAAGCCAAGCAATATAGTTGTTGTTGTGTATTGGTTTTCTCTGTGTGCCAATATCTTGAATGCTTTTCTGTCATTAAAAATACTAGGGTCATTTCTTGAAGAAGTGGATACTGGGCCGAATACACTGCAGCCTTCCTCCTCCCCAATAAACAAAGGTAGTTAGATCCTGGGACAGAGATAAAAGCTTATATTTAGCCATAGCCAGAGGGCATCACTGAAAAGCAGACATCACCTAAAATGGTCTCCATACTACCAACCTAGACTTCTACTACAATCAAACAGCAAGACACAGCAGAAGAAAGAAAGAAAGAAAGAAAGAAAGAAAGAAAGAAAGAAAGAAAGAAAGAAAGAAAGAAACAAACAAACACAGGAAGATAAGACAATAAAATGCCTCCCAAAACTCCTAACTCCTCCAAAGTTGACCCTCAGGACATGTAGGGGAGGAAATGAAATGCCCCACAGATGAATTATTCAAAAGGGTAAGAGAGGAGATGAAAAAACAGATGAATAAGGTGTACAATGAGTATAAAGAAGATATAACTAAACAGATATTGGACCTAGTAACAAAACAATCAGCAAGTCTGTAGAAAACACTAATAAAAAGCTACCTGAGGGCTGGGGATTTAGCTCAGTGGTTCCACTGCCTGCCTCGCAAATGCAAGGTTCCTTGTTCAATCCCTGGTACCAAAAAAAAAAAAAAAGCTACCTGAGCTAAACAAAATGATACAAAACATGAATGGCCAGCATTAGAAAGAACCAAAGTCCATTAGAAGGTACCAAACAGAAATTCAGGAGATTAAAAATTCTATCAAGACTATGGGCAGCAGACACAACCAATGTGAGGACAGAGTGTGAGACCTAGAAGACAAGGTGAGTGTCAATGTCCAATTAATGGGAGATATCTTAAAAACAATAAAAGAACGCGCCAGGGATTTAGCTCAGTGGCACCATGCCTGCCTCACAAGAGCAAGGTCCTGAGTTCAATCCCCAGTGCAAAAAAAAAAATCAAAATCAATGAGAGAACATGAAAAATGGATCCAACAGCTGCTAGATGACACAAAGAAGAAGAATCTTAGATTAGTTGGACTTAGTGAAAAATCAGAAGACAGCACAAGTGGCATGAAGCGTGTTTACAAGAATACTAGCAGAAAACTCCCCAAATAGGGAACAAGAATTTAACATACAGATAAATCTGGCACATAGCCACAATAGCCCAAATATCCACAATCAGAAAAGGACCTCTACACAACACATCACAGTCAAAATCCCAGAAGTTCAACACAAGAACAGAATCTTAAAAGCTGTTAGAAAAAGCCAATGAATCACTTACAAAAGAAAACCCATTAAAATTACAGCATATTTCTCAACACAAACATTAAAGGCCAGGAGAGCTTGTAGTGAAGTAGCTCAAGCTCTAAAAGAAAAATTCCAAGGGAAGCAGATATATTCTGTAAGACTATCTTTCAAAAACTAATGGAGAGATAAAATATTTCCATGATCAAGAAATTCATGACCACTAAACCAGCACTCCAAAAAATTCTCAGGTATATCCTAGAAAGAGGCAATGAAGCTAAAAACGTCAAAAGTTCAAATAGAATGAATACACCAGGTAGGGTAAGTGATTAATCAGGAAGAAAGTGCAGGAGACTGCAATATAGATTATGCCCCAAAGCAGGCTATAAGCAGTGCAGGCTGTAAAGAGTTAACCCCACAACTGGCTTGTTTTGAGAAGTGAGTGCAGCTGAAGCCTACATGAGAAGGTCAGAGTAACTCCACCCAAATTCCATTCTTAGAATTAAAACCTTCTTACTAGAATGACAATGTTCTAATTACAACCATATATTTTGTCTATTCTGTTCCTAATTCGAGAATGTTTTGTCTTGTCCTTCACGAGCCTTGCTTACATTAATTTCCATAGAAACTGCACGATTGCCTGTCTTCACATATAGTTCTGCCCTTGCACATAGCTTGCTTTTACCTCAATTGATTACCAATAAAAATCAGTGGCTTGGACTTGCCAATGCCTTTGTTGGTTGCACAGGCATTGGTCATCCTGGTACCCTGCTTTCTGTCTCTCTTAGTTTTGTCTTTTAGGTTTTTTTCCCTCAGGCCTATGTCATACACTAGGCAGGAGACTGGAGCCTACTGCAGAGGTTTTCAGTAGCATTTCAGGGGTCCCCAGTAGGGAAGAAAAAGAAATCAGCAATAGAAAAACAATGCAACTATTTCACAAAACTGTACATGAATAAATGAGAATTCAGAAGAAATGGATAGATTCCTAGATATACATGAATTACCAAAACTGAACCAAGAAGATATAAAAACTGTAAATAACTCAATAACAGGCAATGAAATTGAAGCAATAATTTTTAAAAATCCTACCAACTAAGAAAGGCTCAGTTTCTAATGGATTACTGCTGAATTCTAGGGAAGATTTCATGTCAATACTCCTCTATCATTTTGATCAAGTTGAAAAGGAAATAATACTCCCACAGTCATTCCTAGAAGCTAGCATTACCATAATTCCGAATCCAGACAAGGATCCAACCAAAAAAAGAGAACTACAGGTCAGTCTCTTCAATGAACACAGATACAAAATCCTGAACAAGACTTTGGCAAAAAGAATGCAACAAATGATAGAAAAGATTGTACATCATGACTAAGTAGGGCTCATCCCAGGGATGAAAGAATGGTTCAACATATGCAAATCAATACACATAATACATCACATAAACAGAAGCAAGGATGAAAATCACATGGTCATCTCAGTAGACACAGGTAAAGCCTTTGACAAAATTCAACATCCAGTTGTGATAAAAACTTGAAAGACCTTATGTTAATCTGATAAAAGTATCTTATGAGAAACTGATTGCCAATATATTAAATGAGGAAAAGCTGAAAGTTTTCTCTGTGAAATCATGAACAAGGCAAATATGTCCACTATCAACACTCCTGCTCAATATAGTACTCAGAACATCAGACAAAACAATCAGGGAACAGAAAGAAATAAAAGTGATGTGTATAGGAAAGAAAGAACTCAAATTATCATTTTTGCAGACAACATGATCTTTTTCATAGAAGATCCAAAAAGAATTTCACCAAAAGACTCCTAAAATTAACAACCAAATTCAGCAATGTAGCAGGACATAAATCAATACAGAAAAATAAACAGCATTCCTGTACACCAATAATAAACTTACTGAGAAAAAAATTAGGAAAAGAATACCATTCACAATATGATTGAGAAAAATTACTTGGAATTATCCTAACCAAGGAAATGAAAGACCTCTACAATGAAAACTACACTATTGTGAAAAAGGAGTTCAAAGTGGACATTAGGAAATGAAAAGATATCCCCTGTTCCTGGATACATAGAATCAGTGTAGTTAAAATGGCCATATTTCCAAAACTGATGTACATATTGAACACAATCCCAATCAAAATACCAATAGCATTCCTCAGAGAACTACAGAAAACAATCCTAAAATTCTCATGGAACCAGAAAAGACCTAGAATAGCAAAAACAATCCTGGTTACCAAGAGCAAAGCAGGAGGCATCAGAACCCAAGATTTGAAGTTATATTATAAAGCAACAGTTGTAAAAGCAGCATGATACTGACACAAAAACAGACATGCAGATAAATGGAACAGAAAAGAGAACACAGGAACACATTCAGGCACATTCAACTATTTTATCTTTAACAGAGGAGCCTATGTATGTGTTTATATATATTTTCAAAAAGCCATCATAGCATTATCCACAATAGCCAAGAAGTAGATGAGACACAAATCTCCATCAATGGATGAATAGCTAAACAAAACATGATAATACATACAATGGAGTATTATGTAGCCATAAACAAGAATGAAGTTCTGATATACATTACAACATGAATGAACTTCAAAAACATTATGGTGGCCCTACCAAGGTCCTGAGTCACACAGAACATGCCGAAACACCCCGCTGCAGACAGGCAGCCACCTGGTTCCACACTACAAAGATGCAGAGGACACCAGACCACCAGACCA